TGTAGTAATTGGCCATCACCCCCCAGAAGGGTTACACTTGTGATACAAAAACAGAACTCCCTATGCCTGTGGTCACTGTTGAGATCTCAATGACTGATGACGACACTATGATGTCTCCAACAGCAAGAGGACACTGCAGCTGGGGATTGGAGACTGTGCAGCCGTTCTCCAAGATCGCACATCAGCTAAAGATAAGGTGGGTGGCTTGCTGACGACGACCTGTCTGTCCCAAGAATGCATCATTCGCTCCTTTGCACAAGCCTGGATCGTTACTGCCTTAGTCCCACTGTCCCTTACATCTGCCTCTACATCCCCTGCTATGTTGTATAGTTAATACTGATAGTCTGAGGCTCGCCGTCTTAGCCGAGAAGAGCGGAGATCAGACTCCAGACCCCATTTATGCAAACTATCATCTCTCATAGTATTTTCTTTGTCTGGCTTAGTCTTCCATCCTCCACTGTACCCTCAGCCAGTTGGTCAGGCACCCCACACACACATAGTCCCACTTTATAGCTCTGGCTGGCCTTGAACTCATTATGTAGCCCAACCTGGCCTCAAACCTGTGGCAATCCTACGGTCTCAGCCTTCCAAGTGCTGGGATTGCAGCCACGTGCCACCACGTCCTGCTTTACTTACTGCTTCTGAGTTTAACTTGTTGTTTGCCTCTGGGAGCTCACTTGGCACTTGTCCTTCTGTGCTTGGCTTGATTCTCTGGGCCTCAAGTCTTCCAGACTCAACGATGTTGCAAATAACAGGATCCTCAATCCTAACCCTCATCAGATACACTGTTTTCAGATATTTGTTGATCCCATTCTGTTGGTTGTGTCCACTGCGGTGATGGCTTCTTGATCACCCAAAACGTCACTGCAGATCTTTTGTTCCCCTCTTCTCCAGAACGAGAGTGGACCCAGGACTCGTCCGCTCCATCCCCAGCCCTTCTGTTTTGAGACAAGGTGTTACTAATGTGCCCAGGCTGGCCTTGAACTTGTGATCCTCCTGCCTCAGAGTAGCTACCAGGTATTGCTGCCAGACCCACTCTGTCTATTTCTTGATTAGGCATTCTTATTGTTGACTCCTAAGTCTGACAGCCCAGGCCAATGTCTTATTATCTATCTTGGTGGTACTGAAAATGGAACCCAGGGCCTTCACATCAAGCTACATCTCTAGCCATTTAAAAAAAAAAATGTTTTGAGGCAGGCATGGTGGTACACACCTGTAACCCCAGCTCTCAGAAGACTGAGGCAAGAAGATCACTTTGAGTTCAAGGCCAGCTCGGGCTATACAGGAAGTCCCAGTTCTTGCCACCCAACCAAAAAAGATCTTTCAGCAGAGATGTAGCTGCTCCTAATTCATAGACCACTAGAGGAAATTAAGTGCTAGGGCAGATTAAATTCTTTAGCAAGACTTTCAGAAAATACTCCATCCTGTGACTGGGAGGTAAAGCATTTGCCTGGCCTATACCAAGCCCTGGGTTTAATCCCGTGTTGGAAAAAATACAAGATGCACATTTTCAGAGTGAGCTGGCAGAAATGAACCTACACAATCAATGCACACAGTATTTTTCAGCAACAGCAAAAAAAGCTGGGGACCGAATGTACAATGGTAGATGGGATGCAGCTCAGTGGTTGAGCTTCTGCTTAGCAACCCAGAGGCCTTGGGTTCAGTCCCCAGCACCTAAAAAAGAACAAAAGTGAGCCAGCCAGGAAGCATGGAGGCACACGCTTGTATCCCAGCATAAGAGGAAGGAAGGCTGAGGCAGGAAGATCACAAGTTCAAGGCCCTCCTGGGCAACTTTACAAGCCCCTGTCTCAAAAAATAAAAAGATCTGGGAAAGAGAATTAAAATGTTATGTACATGTGCCTACTCCCCACAATGAATGTAATCACTATATATTACAAGCACATACTAACAAAAAAATCACTTGTTTTAAAAAAGGGCTGGGGACGTAGCACAGTGGTTCAGTCCTCAGTTCCTCACCTCACACATACTCACACATGAAGAGGCAGTAGACTGCGAATGTGGAAATCAGTTTCAGATCTGGTTACACCACCTCCAAAAGATGGCTGGAGCAGTCTCTGAGCGAGTTAGGTCTAGGCTCAAATCCCAGCACTTTCCCTGGTCTGTATGACAGAGAGCAAGTTGCCTACCTCAAGGACACTTTTGAGAGTTAAATGAAACTGCAATTCTCTCACCACCCCACCCCTCCTCTTCCCTTCCTACCCCTAAGAAAGAAAAAGAACTGCAAAAGGCACTTGACATATAGTAACAATAAAGGACAATACGTACAGACTTGGGAGAGCTGGGGCTTTGTGTGCAAAGGGGGCGACCCGTAAAGTCCAGCACTGGGGAGGCTGGGGCAAGAAAATTGTCACCAGTTAGAGACCAGCCTGAATTACAAAGTGAGACCTGCTCCAAAGAAAAGAAAGGAAAGGCATGGGTGGCAGGAGACAGAAGCCAAAGGATCAAAAGTTCAAGGCCAGCCTGGCCTATACAACCAAGTCGCTGCCTCAAAACACAAAGGGTGACAACACAGGAAAACACTGGGAGGGCCGGGGATTTAGCTCAGTGGCACTGCACCTGATGCAGAGCACAAAGTCCTGAGATCAATCCCCGGTACCAAAAAAAATAAAAATAAAAACATTGAGAAACCTTTAAACATCTTATAAAATGAAGGAGTTATACAGTCAGTGGAGGATGTTCACTGGCTACCCGCACTGAATGTTACCCGCTCCTCTTTCCAGTCAGATTAGTTAGCAATGTGGTTTTAAGACACTCTTAGAAACATTCTTTGTTGGACTGGTATTTCATCCCAGGGCCTTTGCACTGAGCTACATCCCCAGCCATTGTTACTTTGAGACACAATTCCCCTAAATCTCTAAACTGCCCAGGCTGGGCTCTAATTTAAAACCCTCCATGGGCCAGGGATTTGGCTCAGTGGTTCCACTGCCTGCCTTGCAAGCACAAGGACCTGAGTTCAATCCCAGTAGCCCCCTCAAAAAAATCCTCCTGCCTCAGCCTCCTGGGATTGCGGGTATGTGCTACCATGTCCAGTTTATTCATTTTTTCCCCCCTTTTTTGAGGCAGGGTCTCACTATGCAGTTCAGACTGGCCTTGAACCCACGGAGATCTTCCTGCTTTAGCCTCCTGAGTGCTGGGATTGATTACAGACATGAACTATCAAGCCCGTTTCATTCATTCATTCAGCTGTGCTAAGGATGGAACCCAGAGCTTCACGCATGCTATGTATGCTTGTTTGTTTATTTTTTTGGTATCAGGGATCATTTTCAGTACCTTGTGCCTGCTAGGCAGGCACGGTGCCAGGGTTAAATCCCAAGCTCATGTCATGCTGTGTAAGCACTCAACCACTGAACTATATCCCCAGCAAAGCACTATTACTTTTTGTTTGTTTTTGTGACAGGGTCTCACTATGTAGTTGAGAATGACCTGGAACTCACTATGTAACCCAGGCTGGTCTCAAACTCACAGCGATCCTCCTGCCTCAGCCTCCCGAGTGCTGGGAAGGCATTATTACTTTAATACCAATAAATTAAAAGATTAATCTCTACAGGGCAATAAAACCTTTATTAAGCATTTTCACACATCATCTCATGGAGAGGGCTTTTCCTGCCTACAGAGATCGCGTCACTTTTGTCCCTATTACCATCTTTTATCACAGTCCTTACACGTGGCAGGAACCAAAGCAGCTAAGCTAATGGTAGAACACCACCGGATAAGCTAACCCTGGACATGACAAGTCCAACTTCCTTATCCTGGGGGAGTAAGGGTAATGGCCCTAAGTGACAGTTGAAAGAACTCTCCAAGTGAACCCAACAATGTCAGAAAGAGCGCCCGCTGCAGCAAAGGGTACAGTTGTCTGCATTATAATTCTATTTTTAAAGAAGTGTAAGTTCAATTCCTTATATGCAAAATGCCTGGGACCAGAAGTGTTTCAGATGTGTTTTTTTCAGTTTCTTGAGACAGAATCTTGCTACGTAGTCCAGGCTGATCTCAAACTTGCAGTGATCCTCCTGCCTCAGCCTCCTGAGTGCTGGGATCACAGGCGTGCTGCGACCTGGGAGATGGGGCTTATGTTTCAACGTGAAATTCATGTTTCACATACACCTGTACACATCACCTAAATTAATTTCACGCAGGGTTTCCAGGGTGCCCATCTACTGTGAGCTGGTCGGGTGCACAGGGCCCCACCGTGGCATCAGGGTGGCACTTCCAGATGTTGAAGAGTTTCCTACTTTCAGAGCAGGATGCTCAGCACGGTCTTTCAGAGGTCTAAGTGAAGTTCTACAGAAGACATACCCAAAGCAGCTTGCGCTCTGTGGGTTAGTTTCATCTGTGTTCTGAGGAAACCCAATATTGGGGCAGCAGAGGAAAGGGGTTTAGGTGTATTCAGGATGCGCCCGGAGTCACAGAAGGAATGATTCAAGCAAGACAAGACCCAGTGCTGAGTGAGCATGGGAGGACAGAAGGAAAGGAGAGGTCGTGCCCAGAACCTTACCGGGAAGTCTGACCTGACTATCACTGAGGGGGGATTCGTGTGTGCAGAGCCTAAGGGATTTAAGGTGACTCTAGTGGAGAGGCTACAGGGAAAGCGCTTTAAAAGAAGGGTGCCACACGTGTACAGAAAGCTTTGGACAGAGAAAGGCAAATTTCAGGTTGTGTCCACTATGGGTATAGGCTTCACTGTGCAAGGGAAGTTGGCATTTAGCCGCTTGGGTCTCCGGAACCTGGAGTCTGCCCTAGGCTGCGGCGAGACCGTGTGGACACGGAGATGTCGGCAGGCCACGAGCACCGCACCTGACTCGTGTGTGTAAGGGCTGGCCCGGTGTCGGCCGGGACCACACGGCTCACAGGGAGCATCCAAGCTCAGGCGCCTGGGCCGGGAAGCCCCTCAGCTTTGAATCACACAGCCCACTCGGAGGTTTTATGCCGGACAGCTAAGCCCAGCTCTAGCTCCTCCTCCCTCTATAATCACAGCAGTCAAATAAAGTTGAGGAATTTATTAGGGAAATACAAGAGGCACAGACAGCCCAAGCGACAGAAAGAAAACCCTGAAGATGTCTCTTCAAGCCAAGCGGGGGACTGACCTGGACCTCCCCAGGACAAAGTGGTAGGGCGGCAGCATTCTCTGGCAGCCACTGTGTGGGCCTGGCGTCTCGGCCAGGACACCCCACTCCACACCTTCCCCCGAAGGCGGGGAGCAGACAGAGGCAGAGGCAATGAGAGCTGTAAGGAGCGTTGGAGAGGTGGGGGACCCTCAGAGGCCCAGGCTTCTGACTCTGACCTCAGATACAGTGACCGCAATTCCGTGCATTACTGGGAAGGGAGCGCAAGCTGTGTCCAGGAGTCCCTGGACTCCTCCCCCCACGCCACACCACACTCTCAGAGCCCAAAGGCTGGACTTTTGAAAAAAGAAAAACAAGAAAAAGCCCTGTTGCTCTTGAAGGAGAAAAGAAGGAGCTGGAGGCTGCTGGGCCTTTTCCGCACGGCCTGTGTCCTATAAAGCACTTCCCAGCAGCAGCACAGCGCAGGCCTAGGTGAGAGTCTCGCCTTTTGTCACCTGTCAAAGGAAAAGTCACATTCAGACAAATTCAAAACAACTAAAGGGGTCTAAACAGCACATGCGCTCTAGATCTGAGGCAGCGAGAGCTCACCGGAAAACAGCTGTGGAGGCACTGAAGCCAGGAAGGCAGGTGCGGCTCACGCTCAGGGTCCCTGCGGTGCCCCCGCTACTCACCCGCGCTTCGATGTACTCTATCCTCCGCTCCAGAGCTGTCAGCTTCTCGTTTAGGGTTGCGAGCCTTGAACGGCAAGACATATCTGGTAAAAGGAGACTGATGTTTAGGAGCAGTGTCAAGACACACATGCACACCCTGTGCTGAGGGGGGCGCTGCAGCGTGAAGAACACACGTGGGAGCTGAGGTGGGAGCTGAGGGGTCGATGCCACACATCTCGGGGGCACAGCTGCCTCACTGCCGCCGCTGCTGAGCACCTGGCAGACAGAGAACGGTGACCCAGCCTCCTTCTGGAGCCCAGGAACATGCCGGGTAGAAGGGCTCTGCAGGAACCACTGAGGCTAACAGCCTGAACATACTGGGGTCTCACCTGGATCTTCCATGTGAGTCTGATTTGGGAACAGGGTGAGGAGAGCACAGAAGAGGGTCAAAGGCAAGCGTGAGGAAGAGAACGGAAGCGCGAGCGGAACCACACATGACATGCTGGCTTTCAGAGGGAAGCACCAGGACCCAGGGGTGTGAGCATCAGTAGAGCTGGGAACAGCCTCAGCTCACAGCCAGCAAGGAAACCGGGGCCTCGGTCCTGCAACTACAAGAAAGTGAATTCTGCCAACAGCTCCGTGGGCAAAGACAAGTCTTCTCATGGGGGGACCTCCAGGGAGGAAGCCAGACCGATGCCAGCCCGGTGATCAGTGCTGCAGGTTGATCCCCCAGGGATCAAACCAAGGCCTCACACACAATAGGCAAGTGTTCTACCACGGAGCTAGATACACTCCTCTTTAAATTTTATTTGAGACAAAGTCTTGCTAAGGTGCCAGGCTGGCACTGAATGTGCAATCCTCCTGCCTCAGCCTCCTGAATAGTTGCTCACAATATGTGCTAGCACATCCAGCTAAGTGTTGGATTTTTTGTTTGGTTTCTGGAGACAAGGTTTTGCCATGTAGTCCAGGGTGGCCTCGAACTTGCGGCGATCCTCCTGCCTCAGCCTTCCAAGTGCTGGGATTACAGGCGTGCACCACCACCCCTGGCATAAGTGTTGAATTTCTGAGCCACACAACAGCAAAATAATAAATGACATGTAAGCTGCTAATTTATGGCAGCAATAAAAAACAACACACCAAAGCTATACAGATGGCCATTTGTTTTGTTTTTGCTTTTAGTGTTTTTGAGACAGGTCTATGTAGTTCAGGCTGGCCTTGAACTTGTGGTGATCTTCCTGCCTCAGCCTCCTTAGTGCTAGAATTACAAGCTTGTGTCACCATGCTCAGCCACAGATGGCCATTTGTTAACCAGCAAGCTAAGAGTTTCAAGACAGGGTCAGGGATTTAGCTCAGTGGTTCTGCCACCTGCCTCGCAAGTGCAAGGTCCTGAGTTCGATCCCTGATAGATTTAAAAAAAAAAAAAAAAAAAAGGCAGGAGACATGGCTGGGCATGGTGTTGCACGGATACCCACCAGGATAACTTAGCAAGATCTTGTCAAAAAAAAGAGCATTATGTATGGTGATATGTGCCCGTAATGCTTGTACTAAGGAAGCTGAGGCAGGAGGATCTCAAGTTCAGGGCCAGCCTGAACTACATAGTGAGTCTCTATCCCAAAATAAATAAATAAAAATGGTGGAAGCTATTTCAGTGAAAATGCACTGAATTTCCTAACTTATCCAACATGACAGCTCAGCCGCTCGGTAGCTGGAAGAGCATCCACTGCTTACCACCACGACTGCATGCGGACTGGAGCCACACATTCCTGCCATGGCCTGGCAGCACCAAAGTTCCATGCCACACACTGCTGGCCCAAGAAGAGACAAGACGCAAGCTGAGAGACAGCTTCGGTCTAGGCACAGCTCAGTGGCAGAGCACTTGCCTAGCACATGGTAGGTGCTGGGCTGAATCCCAGCCTTGAGGAAAAGAAGAAAAAGTGAAGCACAATTTTTACCGAATGCAGACTGCTTTTGCACAGCACAAAGCCAGCACATGTTAGGGTACCCAGCATAAACCAGGGACTGTCTGCAGTGTCAGAAGAGAAAAAGGGAGACCAAAGGAGCAGCAGATATTGAGGGGAAGAGGAAGGCTTCAAACTCCTAGGAGCTACAAGTTACTGGTGCCAAGGAGGAAAGTATCTCACCACTGTCTGCACAGGCCTGTCAGAACAGGAAGAAACAAAAGACCAGTGTCCCACAGAGCCCACACTCCCCTTCTTCCTCTGCATCTTCCAGTCCCCTCACCACTTCTCCCAAAATGCAACATCAGCCTGTAAACCCAGCACTCGGGAGCCTGAGGCAGGAGGATCACTGTGAATTCGAGACCAGCCTGGGCTATACAATGAGTTCAGATCAGTCTCAACTACATGGTGAGACCCTGTCTCAAAAAAAAATTAAAAAAAAAAAAAAAAGCAACCTCAGTTTCTTTTCCTGTGCACTTGTCTCTGACAGAAACTACTCAGCCACTTTTCCCAACTATTCCTGACATATAAGAGAAAAGGGTATGTCGGCATAATTATTTCTTGGTTCCTCTCCTAACACGTGTGCGGTCATCTCCCCACAGCCATCGCTTCATGTCTGAAATACCCAGTCCCCACACGGGACTCACTCCGCGTGACCTTTCCTGCAGTGCTCACTGTGACACCCCTTCCTGACTGCCGTCTCGCCTCAACTCCAGGCCATCCTGCCTGTCTGAACCCCTTCCAGCAAGACTCGCTTCATCTCTTGGTCCCCTTCCCATGCGGGAAAGATCTCTTTACTTCCCACTATCTGTCTCTTAATCCGCTCTTTATTTCTATTTTGGGTTTCTCATGTAAGAGAAACCATGTGTCATTTAAACTCTGTATCTGATTTATTTCACTTAACAGTACGGTCTTGAAGTGCATCCATTTACCTACAAATCCCTCAAGTTTATTCCTCTGGGAAAAAATGGAAATGTGAAGGGCAACAGTTGGAGGGATAAGGGAGGTGAAGGTGACAACAAAAGAATTAAAATATGTCACGCACATGGGCAAACTCACCACAGCAAATGTAATCGTTATGTCTGCAAAGAGGCATTAATAAAACAGACTTGGTTCAAGCTGTGTTTCTCAGACATCTTGCCAGGTGAACAGAATTCTTCCTTTTTTGAATTTATCTAGACACTTATGAATGAACTTCTAATCTGTAAATTACCCATGTACTTGGTCTTTGGCATTTCTCCCTTTAGACGAGGATTTAAAAATAGGGGCTGGGATGTAGTTTTGTGGCACAGGGCCCGGGCAGCACATGCAGGATAAAAGGTCCCATCCCCAGCACACAGAATAAGTAAGTAAATAAGTAAATAAATTTACCAATTAAAAATACTCACCGCTACTACTATGATAAAGAAACAAAAGCAAAGGCCTATTACTAGAGAAATGGTTTGATAAAATCTGTCTATGAAGGAATATTAAAATAGCTGCTGAAAATCACAGTATCTGCGTCAGGGCCATAGTTTACTCCCCACACCATTTAAACTTTGTGAGAGCCCAATTCTTCCACTTTGTATTCATTTTATTCTTGTTTCTATTTTATTCTTTACCATATTCATCCCTTTTTCTTTTTCTTTATTTTTTTTTTTTGGTTTTTTTGAGACAGAGTCTCACTATGTAGTTGAGAGATTAACCTAGGGCCGTAGATTTAGCTAAGTGGTTCTGCTGCCTGCCTTGCAAGCACAAGGACCCAAGTTCAATCCCCCGTACCAAAAAATTGACAAAAAAAAAAAAAAAAAAAGACCTGGAACTCACTATGGAGCCCAGGCTGGTCTCGAACTCACAGGGATCCTCCTGCCTCAGCTTCCCAAGTGCTGGGATTACAGGTTTGCACCACCACACTCAGCTTCACTATGTAATTTAGACTGGCCTTGAACTCACTAGGTAGCCCAGGCTGACTTAGAACTTGAGGCAATCCTCCTGCCTCCCATATGCTAAGATTATAGGCATGCACTACTACACCCAGCTACCATTTTTGTCCATTTTCATTGCTACTTTTTTTTGGGGGGGGGCCTCAGGATGGAACTCAGAACCTTGTGCTTGCAAAGCAGGTGCAGCCTCCTTTCATTGCTATTTTATCACTCCCCCTTTGAAATAGTTTTAAAGATATGTAATTTACATACATACAGTTCACTTGAATGAAGTATACAGTTCCTAAGCATATTTCCAAAGTTGTTCAACCATTACCAGAATCTAATTTTAGAACGTTCTCATCATCCCTAAAGAAACTTTGTACCTAGTACTGTCACTCCTTGTTGGACACCACTAATCTCTGTCTCTATTTTATTTTTATTTTTCTGCAGTGCTGGGAATTTAACCCAGAGCCTCCCATACACAAGCAAGGCAAAGCTCCACCACAAAATCAGTCCCCAGCACTGAGGCACATGCCCAGCTCCCACTTTCATCTTGTTTTCTACCTGCTGGCGCTGCTCCCTTTAGTCCCCAGCTCAAGTTTGTCCGCACCTTGGCACCACAATTTGCCTCCACATGTGGTCACTTCCAGGTAGGGCTGCCTAACAAGACCAATTGCTTTTCAGCATAGTTTTTGGAAGCTCAAAAGCACACATAAAACCCAGGCATGGTGACTATAGTCCCAGCACCCAGGATGCCAAGAATCTAAGAATGGTGCTGTGCCGCTGGCCCACAAGGACAAACGTAGTCGAATACAAGATGCTTAGCTCCAGAAACCCTACTTCAGGTCCCATGACCTATCAAACGGCTCACACAGAACACACTGGACAAGAATTCAGCAGCGGGACAAGCCCTGACCAGGTGTATTTCTGCACACAGTCACCAGACTCCCAAGGCAAACACCGGTCCTGGAGGGTGCCTGGCGGAGTGAGCATCAGTTCTGCTGACTGGTTGCCACATATCTTGTTCCTGAACTTACTTTATATAACCGAACCACGACAAAGATAATTCTGCTGAATTGGTTTTGCAAATAAGTGAGTCACAGGATGAGTCTTGGGACTGAATGAAAATTAAAGGGTTTGAGATTAGGATTTACAGAGTAAAAATACTCTTTTCTTGCTTTGTTAGCAAGGAAATATCTGTTCTGAGATTTCTACAAATGAGTCACATCTTACAGAGGGTCTTACTATGGAGTTCAAGCTGGCCTCAAACTTACAGCACTCCTCCTGCCTCAGCCTCTCAAGTGCCAACATTGTAAGCGTGCACCACCAAACCTGGCTAAGACTTTTCTTTTTAGATTTCCAACAAGGCCTAAGGATGTGGAAAAAGGCAGAATTCCAATTTTTAGGAGACAGAAAAAATGGCTTCTCTTAGGTTAGGCTGCTATCCTCCCTAAAATGGTAATGGCCAAATGTTTGGAGTAATTAGTAGGTGGTTTTTGAAAACTATAAAAGGCAAATTTAGTTCTTAAAAAACAAACAAACAAAGAAAATGGCAGCAAGTCTGCAGTCCTAACCCTGACCAAGGTAAGCCATCTGCTTCAGAAAGAACCGGTTCCCAAGACAGTGGATGACAGTATCACAGTCCCTGTGGCTCTCCTCATGTCTGAAGACCGCTGAGCCTGAGGACACCCAGCCACACCCCAACACTAAGCCACTCCACTTTGGTGCTGGTGAAGCTTCAAAGACAGGATGTCATGGATTTTAAGTCTCTATTTTCAGACTCTTCTCCCCGATTCTAAAGCTAATGTATAGAGAAGTATAGGAGACAAAATAAGAGAATCTTGCTATTTTAAATCAGTTTTAATAGCCAGATGTGGTACAGGCACAGGCCTATCATCCCAGACCTCAGATGAGTCCAAGGCCAGCCTGAGCTACACAGTGAGATTGTCTCAAATAAACAAAAATGCCAAATCTGTTTTTGTATTCAACTAAAAAATACAACACATCTGTTATATATCCAGCTGGATATCAGATCTGTGGAAGAGGAATACATGAGCTGCATGTCCAGCCACACACCTGTAATCCCAGCTCCTCAGAAACCAAAGCAAGAGGGTTTCAAATTAAAGACCAATCTGGGAGCCAGGGATTTAGCTCAGTGATTCCATCACCTGCTTTGCAAGCACAGGGACCTAAGTTCGATTCCCGGTACCAAAAAAAAAAGGCCAATCTGGGGAACTTAGACCCTGTCTCAAAATAAACAAACAACAAAACAAAAGGAGGGGAGGGTGCTGAGGACAAGAATGTAGCTCAGTGGTAGAACAGGCCTTGGGTTCAATCCCCAATATCACAAAAAGAAAAAAAAGGGGGGGGAATAAATAAAAATAAATGGACACAGTAGCCACTCTAGAAATTTAAAAGTGTCAGATAAATAATACTGACTTTTCTGGTTGTGATATGTCAAGAAACCTATGTGAAAGATAAATGTATGTAAATTAAAAGTTCGCTAATACAGCCAGGAGCAGTGGGGTCCCCTATAGACCCAGTTCCTCGGGAGGTTGAGGCAGGAGGATCACTTGAGCCCAGGGTTTCAACACCAGCCTGGAAAACATCTCAAAAAGAAAAGAAAACATGGTGGCCCATTACTGTAATCTCAACTCTCTGGGAGGATGAGGCTGAAGAATCACAAGTACAAGCCCAGCCTGAGCAACTCAGGACTTAGCAAGACGCTGTCTCAAACTAAATAATTTAAAAGGGTTGGGGAGGGCAGGGGATTTAGCTCAGAGGTTCCACGGCCTGCCTTACAAGCACAAGGACCAGAGTTCAATCCCCAGTACCCAAAAATGGGGGGCGGGGGGTAGTTAGGGATGTAGCTCAGCACCAAGTTGCCAGGTTCAATCCCCAGTACCTTGACAAGACCAAAAAAAAAAAGTTCACTGATGTAGTTCAGTGCTTGGAAATTAAGTTATTACACTACCAAGATCCCAACTGGGAAGGCTGAGATGCTAGATCATTTTTAAATTTGAAAAGCAACCCCAGTCTGACATAATTTTCAATATTTTACTGAATGAACTAACAACACTTTGATATATTAACTCCTACCAGATAAATAAAATGTTTTAGTTTTGTTTTCAAAACAAAGTTTAAGCTGGATATGGTGGCCCATGACTGTAATCCAGCACTTAGAAGGCTGAAGCTGGAGAATTTCTAGTTTGAGGCTAGGTTGGGCTACATACTTCAAAGTCGGCCTGGGCTAAACAACAAGGCCCTTTCTAAAAACAAAACAAAATTAAAATTTCTCTATGTGAGTGATCTATCCAACCACTTTCTAAGAACTATACTTCCCACTGCCTCTCCAGACTAAGCAAACACCACATCTATTATCCCGAGAGCCTGTTATGAGTAACAAATGTTGTGAATACTGAGCGTGGTAACACATCCTATAGTTCCAGCATTGAGGAGGCAGAAGCAAGAGGACTGCTTGAACCTAAGAAATGAAGGCCAGCTTGGACAACACAGAAAGACCCAACCCCAAACAAACAAAAAACCTCTCCAAGGAAACCTAGATCCATTACTTAAAATTAGTCTAACCTCTCCTAATTCCAAACCCTTTCCTGCTAAACCACACTCCTTTATTTCTATTATTCAGAAGAAAAAAATATTTTCAAGATACATGAGCTCTATATCACTGTCACTCCCTACTACAATCTTTGTTTGTTTGTTTGTTTGTTTTTGGTACTGGGGATCGAATTGGGGTCCTTGAGCTTGTGAAGCAGGCGTCCGAAACCACTGAGCTAAATAAATTCCTGGCCCCCTAAAACAATCTTTACAGCAATCTGTGTGTGTGAATACGTACCACTGATGTAATTTACACTGTTCTCTTTTCATTCAGATGAGTCTACATACCACAACACATCAGCATTATAGTCTTATACACCTTATAATGTAAATATATTAAAAATGATGTTCTAGGCCAGGGATTTAGCTTAGTGGTTCCGGCACCTGCCTCGCAAGCACAAGGACCTGAGTTCGATCGCTGGTACCAAAAAAGAAAAAGATGTTCTGTTTTGTCCTGAATCTGTCATTATTTCAAGAAGGAACCGCTTGAATGCAGAAAGGGTTTTTATTATGTCCCGCAAAGTGGCTCAACAGAGACCTTTGTACTGAGATGTAGTTTCTCCTGCTGATGCTTTCTGACAACTTTTTGGTTTTTTTTTTGGACAAACTTCGGGCGGGGGGTGCTGTGTAGGGGATCCAACCCAAGGCATGGCTCAGGCTCTACTCTGAGCTACATCTCCAGCCCGCTGGCAAAACTCTTGCTGTCACTTTATACTTAGGACTCATCAGTTCTTCTAGCTACAAAGTAATTCCTTTTAATTTTTTTTTAATACATCAGTTTCTTCTATTTAATCTTAACTGTTTACTGTTGCTGGATTAGTGGAACCAAAACTACACAGGTTGAAAAAGGTCACTAGGTGTCAGCCCTCAATCTTGCAAAGTTTATTCAGCACCAAGTTCACTGAAAAAAAACACTTGGAGAACACGGGGTAGGTAGAAGTCTGTCACAGGCTTGCGGTCCAGGCAGGTCTGAACAGTGCGGAAAGCATTTAAGACGGTCGCGAGGCTACCCCTAGGGAAGATTCTGGTAAAGCTGCTTCTCTGCGGAGAGCACCTATCCTATATTAGCTCTGAGGATCGGGCTAGCAGGAGACAGACGACTGACAAATATCAGAGTTTCTCCAAGGCCCTGCAAGGCCCGGACCCAACCTCTGACCTCAGCTCCTGCCACACACCGGGGGAAAGGGATGGACAGGGGAGCGTCCGAAAGGGCGCTGAGGGTTCCGATCTCGTCCTGCGAAAGCTGAGGAACTCTCAGGGAAGTCGAGTGGAATGAGTTGGCACAGAGGAGGCAGAGCCCACCCAAGGGAAGCAGCACGCACTGCCTGCCCGCGGTGGGGAC